GTGGCTGGCGCCCTAGCCGGTTGAGCTATAAGTGCCAAGCCATTTTTCACAATTTTTAAGTTTATAATTTGATTTCACTGGCCTACTTTATCCATGTTCTTGTTTAAAATATTGAACAGATCCACCACCTGCTAGTGAAGACTTCTTCTGCATTCATATTAACCTTCTCTATTATGCTAAGCAACTATTAAATAGCTAGCAATCCTCCTGACATAATTTTTTTCTCTGTCCTGTAAATTGGACTTTTTATGAATGGCTTTAATTTTTGGAGTAGACTAGGCAATGAAATACATTTAGTTTCTTTATATTAAATGGTTCTCCTTAGGTGATCAACTGTTCTGTGCTATGTAACAAATATATAAAAGCATGGTCCCTATGCTTTTCCTAATATTAGAATTTGAATATCTGATTATCTTCTTTTTTTTTTTTTTGAGACAGGAGCCTTAACCTGTCCCCCTGGGTAGAGTGCCATGGCATCACAGTTCATAGCAACCTCCAACTCCTGGGTTCAAGCGAGTCTCTTGCCCCAGCCTCCCGAGTAGCTGGGACCACAGGCGCCCACCACAACGCCTGGCTATTTTTTGGTTGCAGCCATCATTGTTGTTTGGCAGGCGTGGACTGGATTTGAACCTGCCACCTTAGGTATATGTGGCTGGCGCCTTAGCCACTTGAGCCACAGGTGCCGAGCCATGTATCTATCTATCTTAAAACTGAGAAAAACCAGTAGTAGTTGTGATCAACACAGGTTCTGCTACTACCTACCTGGTGCTGTGAATTATTTGGGTCTCTTTAGTATTACGTTTTGCATTAGCATATCAATTAGGCACCCTCACTAGAAGGAAAAAAGAAAATAATAAAATCTAAAAGTTATGCCAAGGTGGATTATTGATTGCAAGATTGCTTGCAAGGCAGAATTTATTCTGTCTAAAAAGTGGACCCAACTGGTTTTCCCTATCAGAAAGAATTACAAAGGATATTCCTACATTTAAGAAGGAATTTGGACTACCTAGGGTGTTCCCTTCTTAACTTTGGTCTCAGTGGTAGGGTAGAACAGAATCTAAAAGCTAATGAGAGATTATTTGTGATAGTAAATATCCACATACTCCCATTAAGAAAGGAGGTGGACCAGATTAAATTGCTAATTAAGCCTTACAGAAGTCTAACAACTGACTATAAAAGACTGTTGCTAGCCTTCAGGCAATGCTTTCTAGAATTTATTTAAAAAAAACAGCAATAGTTGTCTATGAGTTTAAATGTCCTCTAAGAAAGAGATTTGTCAAAGCAGAACTACTAAATAAGGAATTTCTATACAAATTCTTATGTTTTCAATTCTACTGTTTTCTAACTGTCTATGCATACAGAGTATCCCAAAGGTCTCCCCTAAAATCGCTATACATAGGGAAAATGTGAAATTGTAGTTAAATGTATCTTTACTTATAAAATATTCATTACAAAATATTCACAAACTATTCTCTACATGTTGGTCACCTCCTTGTAAAATTTAGGGTGACCGTTGGGACACCTTGTTTAACTATACTCTCCTTTATTATTGTTTTGTTATGCACCTTCAGATTGCTGTGGGGGAAACAGAAATTAAGCTTACCCAGATGAAAGTAATAGGATTATTTGTAATTTTCCTACCATATCTCCCAGGTGGTTCATGCCTAGATCATATGAATGCATCCCCATCGAATGTTCCAGATTGTGTAACATCACAAACTTTAGATTCTTTTCCCAGATGAGACGCCGTTCTGTTTCCTCATTCTAAAATATAAGGAAAAAGAACATAGTTATACTGCATCCTGGACATGTAAGTGTTCAATAATGAAGATAGCATTTTATGAAGCATTCTACTAAATATGGATCTGTCTGAGAGCAAGAAAATCAAGGAATATATCCAATATAACTGCTAAAATTATACATGAGGTCTGACACTTAAGTTCACGAACTCATCCTAGAAAAAGTGCTACATACCTCATTGCTGAATATCACTAAGGTCACATTCAAAGCACTCCCTTGGGGATGCTATGCACTGACATCAGATCTAGTCCACCCTTCAAAGCAATTTTGAAATTCTTTTTCTGGAATGGCTATCAGAACTGTCATTATATTACCCTTGATGTCCTAAATGTCATCAAAATGTCTTCCTTTCAATATTTCCTTTATCTTCAGTTAAAAAAAGTTATGGGGGCCAGATCAGGTAAGTAGGGAGGGTGTTCCAATGTACTTATTTGTTTACTGGCTAAAAACTCCCTCCCAGATAGTGCCATGTGAGCTGGTGCATTGTTGGTTTTTTTTTTTTTTTTTTTTTGAGACAAAGCCTCAAGCTGTCCCCCTGGGTAGAGTGCCATGGCGTCACAGCTCACAGCAACCTCCAACTCCTGGGCTCAAGCGAGTCTCCTGCCTTAGCCTCCCAAGTAGCTGGGACCACAGGCGCCCACCACAACGCCCAGGTATTTTTTGGTTGCAGCCGTCATTGTTGTTTGGCAGCCTGGGCTGGCTTCGAACCCACCACCTTAGGTGTATGTGGCTGGTGCCTTAGCCACTTAAGCCATAGGCACTGAGCCTGGTGCATTGTTGTGATGCAAGAGCCACACCTTTCTCATGCCAAGATTTTCAGTTAAGATTTTCCTATTTCCCTATTGATGTTTACTTGATCTGCTATGCTTCTCATAGTCAACCAATGATTTTGACATACAATTCAATGATGTTTTGCAATGTTTTTGTCAATTCAGCTCTTTACTGGCCACCCTGAGCTTTCTTCATCAGTGACACTTTCTCTCCCCTCAGAAAAATATTTAATCCATTTGTACACTGCTATTTTCTTCATGGCATTATCCTCATAAACTTGGACTAACATGTCCCTGATTTCATTTCCACTCTTGCCAAGTTTAACAAGAAATTTAGGCTTGGTGCCTGTGGCTCAAGTGGCTAAGGTGCCAGCCACGTACACCCAAGGTGGCGGGTTCAAATCCAGCCCAGGCCCGCCAAACAACAATGACGGCTGCAACCAAAAAATAGCTGGGCGTTGTGGCGGGTGCCTGTGGTCCCAGCTACTCGGAAGGCTGAGGCAGGAGACTCGCTTGAGCCCAGGAGTTGGAGGTTGTTGTGAGCTGTGATGCCAAGGCACTCTACCCAGGGGGACAGAAAAAGAAATTTAATCTTTGTTCATTGTTCTACTTCAAGCTCTGACATTCTTGAAATAGCACACAAAACCATACAACAACAATAATTAACACCATTTGGCAAGACACTGCCACATGTGGACGTGAATACAGCTGTGAGATACTGATATACCAAGGTTATTAACCCTTACTGAGTTGTTTGTACAGTGCTGCCAACATAAGCACATGATGGAGAGTTCTTGGACTTAATTGTCACTCCTTATATTAATCTTAATTCTTGCTCTTAATTGCTTTGATGGTGATTAATATTATTTTATGATGCCCATTATGAGTTTCTTCAATATGACAAAAGCTTTTTAACTGTTGTTTATTGAAGTATATCCTTTATAAATGATAAATTCTCTTAATTTTTATAAATCTTTGTGAAAGGTGGCCTTGTTAATGAACTAGTTAACAGAGAAAGATAAACTATCAAACAAAAAGAGAAATAAACTCACAATACATACTGCCCTGTTAAAGAAAACTCACAACTCTCCTTTGTTTTGCTTTGATTAAATACCTAGGACTCCTCTCTTCTTCAAGACTAACTTCTTATCTCTAAAAGTTGGTTTCATAGCCTTGAAGTGTCCTAAACTTGCAGAAGGGATACAAGGTCTCTGCTTCAGTTCTCCAAATCTCATCCCAAGGACTCTGATAAGCTGGCCTCACAGAGGAACAGGGGGGGAAAAAAGGAAAAAAACAGTGCACCAGGCTCAGTGGCTCACACCTGTAATCCCAGTACTCTGGGAGACCAAGGTGGGAAGACTGCTTGAGCTCAGGAGTTTTAGACCAGCCTGAGCAAGATGAGATCCCTGTCTCTAAAAATAGTTGGGCATCGTGGTGGGTACCTGTAGTCCCAGCTACTTGGGAGGCTGAGGCAGGAGGATTGTTTGAGCCCAAGAATTTGAGGTTGCTGTGAGCTATGATGCCACAGCACTCTACTGAGGGTGACAAAGTGAAACTCTGTCCAAGAAAGAAAAAAAAAACAGAAAATACTCAGACAGACATGTCTATTTCACATCCACTTCTGTTAACAGTCTGCTGCAAAGAAAAGTTATTTTAACTTTTAGAAGTCTGAGTAGCTTTTCCACAGTTGCTGGCACTACCCCCTACCTTCTCAATGCCAGGCATTTTGTCTCTCTCTCTTTCTCTCTCCTTGCTCTCTTTAGTAAAAAAAAAAAAAAAAAAAAAATTTTTTTTTTTTTTTTTTTTTTTTTTTTTTTTTTTGAGACAGAGCCTCAAGCTGTCCCCCTGGGCAGAGTGCCGTGGCATTACAGCTCACAGCAACCTCCATCTCCTGGGCTCAAGCGAGTCTCCTGCCTCCGCCTCCCAAGTAGCTGGGACCACAGGCGCCCGCCACAACGCCCGGCTATTTTTTGGTTGCAGCCGTCATTGTTGTTTGGCGGGTCCGGGCTGGGGACTCGAACCCGCCACCTTAGGTGTACATGGCTGGCGTCTTAGCCGGTTGAGCTATAGGCGCCGAGCCTTTTTGCTACTTTTTAATCCTAATCTTTGTGTGAGAAATCTTTCTCTACCTGAATCAGGAGCACCTCATGAATCTCCACCCCAACACTATAAAATATCTATTTTATTTTTTTCAAGACACAGCTTTGCTCTGTCACCATGGCTAGAGTGCAATGGCATCATCCATCACAGCTCATAGCAACCTCAAAATTCTGAACTCAAGTGATTCTCCTGCCTCAGCCTCCCAGGTAACTGGAACTACAGGTGTGCATCACCACACCTGACTAAGTTTTCTATTTTTAGTAGAGACGGACTCTCACTCTTGCAGAGGCTGGTTTCAAAACTCCTGAGCTCAATCAATCCACCTGCCTCAGCCTCCCAGAGTGCCAGGATTACAGGTGTGAGCCACTGTACCCAGCCTATAAAATGTCTTTTTTACCTTCACTCTGGAAAAATAGTTTAACAATGTCGGAGGTTGCGGGTTCAAACCCAGCCCCAGCCAAAAACTGCGGAAAAAAAAAAAAAGAAAGAAAAAGAAAAATAGTTTAACTGATTTCTAGCTATTTTTAAATTTCTAGCTATTTTTCTTCAGCTATTGGAGGACATTAGTCTTTTATTATTTCTTGTTGCATAGGAGAGGTCTGTTGTAAATCTGCTTACTGGACCTCTGCTTTTAACCCTAGGAGCTTTTGTGATTTTTTCCTTTATCTTTGATGTTTTGTAACTTCAACACATGTGTTTGATTTGGGGTTTCTTTATTTATCTTCTCCTGGATTGGATGACTCAGGACCTTTTCTCATATCTGGAAAATGTGCAACCAGTACTCTTCATATATTGCTTCTCCACCATTCCACCTAATTCTCTTCTCCAGAAACTCCTATCAGAAGTTTTTTTAAGTGTTAGACTCTTATATTTGCATTTTCACAGATTTTTCTTTTTATTTCTATATGGTGTATTCTGAGTGAATTCTTCAGCACAATCTTTCAGATTACTGATTCTATCCAACTCTTTTCAGTCTGGAAGTCCCTTTTATCCAGGTTTTAAATTCATTTTACAATTTCTTTTTTATAATTGTGGATGTTATTCCTTTAATTCATTTTTGGTTCTATTACTTTAATCTTCCTAAAAGTGAATTCACATGCTGACTATTGATTTTCTTTCTTTTCTTTCTTTCTTTCTTTCTTTTTTTTTTTTTTTTTTTT